CTGCACACAGCTTGTATTCTCTGGATAATGCCACTGATGAAATTATATATATCTAAATGCTTTCTCTTTAAATAAAATCCTGGTAACTGTAATTTTTGCATTGTGAGGGTTCAAAAGCTATAGTAAAAGATAATTGTGTCATATCAGTATTTGAAAGGCATGGAACACAAGAACAAAGAGTGATCAAGAGACAGGAGGAGGTCCTCTCTTTTACAAACAAAGGTAGTCTTTTCTCACGTAAACTTTTCTTCACCAAGAAGTTTTCACCTAAATTAAGATAAATTGTTAAGGCGCTGTTCATTCTTGACTTACTGTAGTAAAGAAATGGACAACTTATTTGTCGTGTTAGTGTCATAACTGGTTTGTCCTCAGTTCAGCCTTTGAAGATTGGAACTGCTGACCCAGAAGAAGTTTTTAGATACCTAATCTTAATCAGTGTCAAAAAGCAGAGATGGTTAATTTCCCTTGGAGATTGTGCTGTACACTGTAACACTGGTGATCTGGAGTGGGAAATGAAGTCATTAAGCCAACTGTACAAAAAGGTATAGGTGTTACATTTCATATCCAGTTTTATGAAATAAGCTTCATGTTTTCATTTTATGAGCTATTATGTTGCTTAATTTGTCCCAAGTTGGAGTGAGACTGAAGTTAGACCAGGTCATGTATTTTATTGGACTGTTGTATGTTGGAGGGTGATGCAAGCTTCCATTTCTCACAGACCTCTGGGATGATCCTGACAACTCTTTCTGTCAGATTTGATGGGGAAAACCAGTGCACTTTTCATTTGCATCAGGTAGCCATGTTGAAAGTGAAACTTTTTAAAATTTTCCCTCAGCTGGCTCAAAAATGAGCCCAACACTCTACGGTTTGTCAACATTCCTGGTGTCATGTAAAACTGCCAGTTCTGCTTGTAGTGTTGTGACAAGCCAAGTGTTGATATGAACACACACAAAAAGAGTAGCCATTAGAAGCAGAAGAGATTTGTGTTGCAACTCTCCATCTAGCCCTTTGAATTTCTTATTCAGTGCCAGAATTCTCCCAGGTTTTTTTAAAGGCATGGTGCTCTTGTCCAGTGCATTTGCACAGTCAGCTCTGAAGGGCTGTTTATATATGGAAAAGATGACATTGGATCGTACTGCGGACACTCATTGAAAAAGGGTAACTATGGCTATGGAAGGCTGAGATTTGAAAAATGACGTCACCAAGGTACCATCATTTTCAATAATTATTTCTGGCATAACAACCCAGAAAACTAAGTTGATCTCGGGCCTGCTTGTGTGAAGGGGGAGTTTGTTGCTATAACCTTAGAGGAACTATGCAGACATCACCATCAGGGTAGACAGAATAAACTGCCCCCCCCCATTCACCACAGTGTTTGCAAACAGAACACAATCATAAGCTTTACCTGTGCAATGATAGATTCTGCTCCTTGCATGGCTCTGTACAGATGTTTTGCCGAGTGCTCATGGGACAGGAACTGAACCAGCAGCCACAATCCTACTCCCTCATATGTGTGTCCAGACTACAAAATAATAACATGTGGACATTAGTTGGATATCATTGATAGAGCTGCCAGTCTCCAGGTTGTGACTGGAGATCTCCTGGAATTACAGTGGGTCTCCAGGGCTGCAATCACACACACTAAATAATCCACTTTCAATGCACTTTCCAATCTGATTTTACTGTGTGAACTGGCAAAACCCAGTTGAAAAGTGGATTGAAAGTGGATTATTTAGTGTCTGTGATCACAGCCCAGGTAACAGAGATCATGCCCCCTGGAGAAAATAGTTGCTTTGGACTCTATGGCATTATACGCCATTGAAGTCCTTACCCTCCCCAAAGCCCACCTTCCAGAAGCTCTACCCGCAAAATCTCCAGGAATTTCCCAACCTAAATTTTAAGTTCATAACCTGGGATCCTCCAGTCTGGTCTAGTGATTAAGAGCGGCGGGCTCTAATCTGGAGAACCGGGTTAGATTCGCCACTCCTCCACATGAAGCCAGCTGGGTGACCTTGGGTCAGTCACAGTTCTCTCAGAGCTGTTATCTCAGGAGCAGTTCTCTCAGAGCTCTTTCAGTCCCTCATACATCACAGGGTATCTATTGTGCAGAGAGGAAGGGAAGGTGATTGTAAGCCACTCTGGGACTCCAAGTGAATGATGGAGTATAAATCCAACTCTTCTCCTCCTCCTCCTCCTCCTCCTCCTCCTCCAAATGGTCCTTCTGTATAGACCTGTTCACCAGTTTCTCTTAACCCAGCAATTATTAATGGAATCTAACCCCAGCCCTGGTCTGACCTGGATAGCCCAAGCTAGCCTGATCTCATTAGATCTTGAAAATATTTGGATGGGCGACCACCAAGAAATACCAGGGTCATGACATGGAGGCAGGCAATGGCAAATCACCTCTGAATGTCTCTTGCCTTGAAAACCCTATGGGGTCACCATAAGTCAGCTGTGACTTAACAGTACTTCCCACCATCACCAACCTCAATAATAGCAAAGGTTTTTTAAAGTTTAGAATGGCTGTAGCCTTCCACCTTCTCTGGTTAGGTTCTGCAAATGTGCAAAGCAGTTCTGTTCCAGCAGGCATTCACTCACTGATTTTAACAGTGATGATTCTAGCATATATTCTGTTAAGTCCCAGATGTCCTGGTTTCTTGAGTTTCTTGGGGTAACAATTTCAAAATGTCAAGACAAATCATCCTTTTTCCTTCAAATGGCTTTACTTATTGCAGGCTTAATATGAGGCAAATTGATGTCTAAGATGTAGTCTGGATGAGTCTTCTATGGCCATTTCTAGAAAATTTGGCCAAGTAAAGTTCTGAGTTATAAAATAGCAGTGTGGCCCAAAACTCTAGAGAGAGCCAAATAACTTTTATGCTGTCGCAACACTTTTGTTCTTAATGCACATTTTCAAGGTGTTTGCATGCTCCATCACCCACTATTCTTTTGTCTTTCTTTTTCCCTTTCTGTTCACGCTGCCTCACTTTGGGGAGAAGGATGATTTGATGCTGACGGTAGGCAGCAACTTGTATCTTTTTTATCTCAAGGTGCCTTCTTTTGAAAAGTTGTAGATTAAAAGTGTTCCATACTATTGTATTTCTACTACTGCCGATCAAGGAATTCTGTTGTTGAAACGACTAATTCCATCACTCTGCTTGATTTGTGGGTTATGTAGGAAATGAATGTGTACGGAAGGCATAAGAACATAAGAACATAAGAGATGCCAATGTTGGATCAGGCCAAAGGCCCATCCAGCCCAACACTCTGTGTCACTCAGTGGCCAGAAATACCAGTGCCATCAGGAGGTCCACCAGTGGGGCCAGGACATTAGAAGCCCTCCCACTGTTGACCCCCCCCCAAGCACCAAGATGACAGAGCATCACTTGCCCCAGAGTCCCTATCTATACCTTGTGGCCAATAGCCACTGATGGACCTCTGCTCCATATGCTTATCTAATTCCCTTTTGAAGCTTAAGTTTTATATCCAACAAAATGTTTCCTGAATGGCTTTGCACTTAGGGTTGCAAACTCTGTCTTGGGAAATACCCTGGAGATTTGGGGGCGGTGCCTGGGGTGGGTGGAATTTAGGGAGCTGATGCCATAGCGTTTCTCACCAAAAGAGCCATTCCTCCAGGGTATGTGATCACTGTAATCTGGAGATCAAGCTGCAATTCTGGGAGGATTCCAGCCCCCATTCAGAGGCTGGAAACCCTGATTTCACTGGCTAAATCTTGTTCATTTTTATTGTTTCAACTTCAACAACTTCAACAAGTTTTTGCAAGCCATTGCAACTGGTAATCATTTTCCATATCATGAAACAAGCCGATTTACAAACCATTATGTCTATCAAGTGACTGTAGGATTGTATAGCTGCATATCATACCACAATGAAGCCCTCCCATGGCTCCCCTTTTTTAGGATAGAGTTGGACCTCAGGTCCAGGTATGACTACAACATGCCCATCCTAGTAATTCTGGATGGCTCAAATGTATGAATTTAGTCCAATATTTTAATCAGTGCAGAATTCCCAGCTGCTAGGTATCATGGGAAATGTTTTCCCACCATGCTTGCACAGCAGCAAGTAAGTAAATCACCAGCCATGGGAACTACATTGCTACTCGTCTGCAGCCCTCTCTTGCAGTTCTTTTGTATGCTCATGGCAGCAGTCAGGGCCTAACAGGGCCCATACCATGGCACATTCCTCCCAGCGCTGTTTATCCCCCGTGAATGTGACAGGATAGGCTTGCATGGAGGTACTATGTAAGGAGCCTAATTCTCTCTGGTTTTTTTTTTTTTTTTTTTTGCTGGATGTTTGGAAGATAGTGAGCAAAATAATCCAGGTTCTTCAAATTATTTCTGGTACAAATTATCACCCCGCCCATGTCTATTTGTAATTCCTTTATTAAAAAATACTTTAATGAGACCCAGAGAGTGAAAATCCATCATCCTGGCATTATGGAAACCTATAAAGTATTAATATTTATCTATTTGCTTCGTTTATACCCTGCCTGTCTCCCCAGTCGTCCTCCTCGCCTCTGTTTTACCCTCACAACAACCCTGTTAGGCTGAGAGTATGTGACTCACCCCTTGGCAGAGAGGGGATTTGAACATGGATCTCCCAGATCCTAGTTCAACATGGTAACCACTACACAACATTGTCTTTCATGTAATGCTACCACTTATAAAACTACTTGTAATACTACTCATAAAATTTATTTATATTTTATTTATTATTCAACTTATACCCCGCCCTCCCCACTACGCAGGCTCAGGGCAGCTTACATGCATTAAAACATTATACATAGTATATAAATAACAAAATCCGGTAAAATCATCATGAAACAATTCAGTTGATCTAATTGAGAGTTGGGTCTTTTGTCTCTCTTGATATATGAAGGCAACATTTGCTTTTCTGTACAAATCGCAGCCTCATAATGCATGAAGCAGATCTATTTTCAGAAAAATCATTCTTTCTCTTGTCTTTTTTTTCTCCTTTAGACTAAGCCGCGTCTCCAGCGGGGTGGCAGTTCTGCATCTTTGCACAATAGTCTAATGAGGAACAGCATTTTCCAGCTTATGATTCATACCCTTGACCCACTTGCAGAAGGTATCACTAACTTCTTTTATTCTTCCGCATTACTCTCTTCTTTGTCTCTATCTCTCTCAGATTAATTCTTCGTAAAATTATCTTCAGCAGCTAATGCCTTTTGTCTCCTATTTTCTGTAGACCCAGATCACAAATGTGTGCAACCGCAGGCCTTCTATTCACAAGGCCTGCACACTTATAAAAGCCCATAGCACAAAAGCACTTGTTTAAGTACCTGATTTAATATAGGGGCTGCTTAATTTATAACTCTTCCTTCGTCTAGATTTAAATAAATAAATGTAGATATTTTTGTGTGTACACATGTGCATGTTCTGATGGCATAGATGGCGCCTGCTGTTAAACTTGCACTCTGCGATAATGCTTTTATTTGCAATGCTAACATTTCTAGAACAATGTGAAGAAGGAAGAAGTCATATACTACTCATTGTGTAAATAGGCCTGATAATTTCCAAACTCAAGTGATTGCAAAAATTAAAAAGATCCTCAGTGGCTTGGGAGCCACATGTGGTCTTTGACGTGCCACTTGTGGCTCTTCTGAGGCTTTTCCTCAACATGGCACCTGCCCTGTGTTTCAAGAAAGTGGGCAAGGCTCATTCTAGATGACACTTATGGTTGGCAGCTTGGCAAGGTTTCCACCTTGAAATGGCTGCTGCCAGAGGAACAGGTAAGCTGCAAGCCTTTCTGAGGTGCAGTCTTCATGCCTGGGATGCAAATAACTGTGAATATGGCTCTCCATGACTCATGGAATAAGCATTACTACTTTGTGCTGTTAACGCAAGGAAACCAGGTTCTACTTGAAAACCATTTTGTTCCAGTTTAATAATGTAATGCATCTACATTTTTTTCTGAAACAGAGATCCCATCTTCTTATTTTTATTTTCAATCATTCAAGTTAACATTGATCAATGAAAAGGGGGAAATGCTCCTGTTACATCTTAGATGTTATATGCATCATCGAGGCTTAGCTCAGACGAACCTGTTGTATATGTGATGTTTTGAATACACTTCCAAAAATAATCAAGGTTCCCTGGGTGCTGATAAAACTACATCACTGTCAGAGGAAGACCACAATTCAATCACCATGCTCAACAACTGATTTATAATAATTGGTCTGAAATGTGAATTCTGTAATTGTAACGTAAAAAAATTAGAAGTGATTGATCAGTACCTTTCAGCCCTTTAAAAAACAGTTAAGAGCCTGTGTCATACCATCGTTGTTGCATTGTTTTCCTTTTGAGGGATGTGTGCACTGACCAACACACAGAGGTGTCCAAGCAGGCACAATGTATTGTGTAGCAAGTACAACCACAATGTACCACTTGCTTTTACTTCATGTGCTATAACTAAAAAAGCACTAAAACACTGTGGCTGGGATCTACTTTAGTGTTTCAGTGGCCAGGATGGTTTCCGCTCATGCAGCACAAATTTCGTACACCCTTCCCAAATTATTGCTCATAGAGTCAAGGGATCCTCAGGAACAGCATTTCGGGGGGCATTGTGGGCCACAACAGGAGGGGAAGGTGAGAAACTCCTGCTCCATGGACAGAGTTTATTCTGTCTCTGGAAACACTTCGGTATATCCAAGCCTTTAAATGGTATGTTATGATTTACAACTGGGCTGTTCCTTGACTGAAAGTGAGCTATGCCTGTGGAAACACTGTTCCTTTTTGAAAGCATTCTTAAAAGGAAAAAAAGAGAATGAGACAAATGTACGGAGAGAGGCAATGAACAGGCAGGAAAACAGTAGAGAGGAGAGTAGATGAAATAAAAAAGAGCATATAAAAATGCAGAATGGGAAGGCAGCTGACCAATTGCATGTTACTATTCAGACTGTAGTTTAACTCACAGGTAGATGTGCCCTGTGATCAATTCTCAAGGCACTTGGGCCAGCTTCAGCCCCATTTTTGCCTGATTATATATGCAAGAAACATGCCTGATACAGTCTTGAAAATCTGTATGCTTGGAATTATGTTACACATTAGCAGGGGTCATTTGGTAGAAAAAGAGGTACAGGAGCTCATTAGCATAACTCATTAGCATAACTTATTTGCATATGCCACACCCCCTGGCATCACTGGGAGTGTGTCAGAAGGCAACACCCACCACTCAGGCTCCACTGGACTGTTTTGGATTGCTAGCTATTGGGGGGGGGGGGGCAGGGGGGGGAACGTGCAGATCTGACCTCACAGAGGAGGGAGAGCTTGTACCTGAATAAAACTTGGTCTTAAAGGTGCCACTGGACTGTTTTGGACCATGGGGGCTGGGGGGGGTTTTCTGCAACTTACCTGGCTCCTTCTTGCTCTGCGTGAGGGCTGCTGGGAGCAGGGGGCAGGGCTTGTTGCATGTGCCCGCCCCCTAGGCTCTTTACTGCCGGAGCTCCGCTCCTGTGCGCTCCTGCAGGAAATGACCCCTGCACATTAGGAATATTAAGCCCTTAAAGTAATGTGAGTTTATCATTTTATTTTAATTATTTCTGGTTAAATAAAGTAAAACATGTTGTCAATATCACCATATCCTAAAATCGTAGGAAGCATTTTCTGACCCACATATTTCTGTGATGCAACAGAGTTGTACACAAACCAAGTCATCTACTGATGTCTGACATACGGTTGCCAGGTCCCCTTGCTGCACCAGCGGAGGGATTTGGGAGGTGTTCTGGGATGTCCCTAACACAATGACGTCACTCAGAAGTGACATCATCGCATCAGGAACTTTGTGTGGCAATGCTCTGGCTTGAGGGCAAAACACTATGGTTTTAGGCCAAATTTACCATAGAATTTTGCCCTCAAACCAGAGCGCTCCGTGCGATGCCCCCAACATGATGATGTCACTCCTGGGCAACATCACTGCATCAGGGATGTTGCATGGGGATGTGGCTGAAGCCCCAAAAACTGGGGGAAACCCCACTGGGACCTGGGGACTGACAACCCTAATCTGACATAAGTATTCAATTGCAATTTTTATTTTATATTTTGTATATATTTACAAGATGAGAAAAGATGGGGGGGAACAGCATAAACATTAAAGATCACATACACACCACTCAAAAAAAATGTAACAGTTACATGTATGTATGTATGTATGTATGTATGTATGTATGTATTTATTTATTTATTTATTTATGGGATTTATACCCCGCCCTCCCTGCTGAAGCAGGCTTAGGGCAACTTACATAAAAGTGTTAAAACAGTGTAAAAACATATAAAATCTAAAGTGCAAGGCATGCATACATTCCTATGTGATGGCAGTCATAATCCAATGTTTTCATAACAGGAGTCAGTTAGTACAAACTTGAATGATAAAGACAATCCTAGGGAGGCTCCAAGTTATATCAGGATGTTAAATGTGGTCAAATGCCTGGTGGAAGAGCTCCGTCTTGCAGGCCCTGCAGAATTGAAGTAAGTTCCGCAGGGCCCTGGTGTCCTCAGGGAGCTTGTTCCACCAGTGCAGTGCTGCCACATAAAAGGCTCTAGCCCTGGTAGTGGCCAATCTGTCCTCTTTAGGGCCAGGGAGCTCTAGGAGGTTTTGTGTCCCTGAACACAGTGCTCTCTGGAGAACATGTGGGGAAAGGCGGTCCCTCAGGTATGCTGGCCCCTGACCATATAGGGCTTTATTTTATTTTATATTTTATTTTTAAATATATAAATATATGCAAAGTGTAAATCTTTCATTGAGTAATACACTCCCAATAGATAAAATACCTACCCAGCATAAATCTCAGTGAGATAAGCAAGCTGTTAAAATGTTTTTATTCACAATTCACTGAGACAAACAGAATATAAATTGCTACAATACAAGCCAGCCATTCTCTTCAATTCAACATAGAAAATGCAAAACACATGTTATTAGCATGACTTCAACATCATGAATTATACATGCAAACAAGGGTATCTCCTTACTTTCTATCCAGACCTTCTCATCAGGAAGACGTATTGTTGTATTCATAAGAGAATTACATGGTTATAGAAATCTACTGTCAAATAACATTCCCTTTATCATAATTCACAGAATGACTACCAATTTTCGGTTTTGTAAAAAAAAAAAATAAGCAATAAATTATAACAACATAGACCTTACAACTAACCAGTCAGGTATTGTTCACAAGAGCTCATCAGAGACCTAAGGAGAAATTCGTTCCTTAGCTTTGTCATTCCAGAACACTATAAACACAGTCCAGTATTCCATACATTTATTTGAGATATCCAAAGAGTTTCTTAGAGTCCTTTGATAATCAGTTAACTTAATGAGCAAGACGTTATCCCAAACAGAATTAAGCTGGAGGCACTGGCTTTTTCGTCTAGCAGCAATAGTTAATTTAGCTACCACAACAAGAGTTAATACATGTTACAAATAGGCAGGGGTCATTTCGTAGAAAAAGAGCGAGGGGGACTCATTAGCATAACTCATTAGCATATGCCACACCCCCTGACATCACCGGAAGTGTGTCCTCCCCACAGCCGGCGGCGACCTCCAGCGGGCACCAGCAGGGAGCTCCAGGCCCCGCCCTCCCGCACCTCACCCAGGGGGATGGCGTCCCCCCGCGTCCCCCCCAAATGACCCCTGCAAATATGACAAAGCCATGTGACCTTTTATGTAACCCAGCAGTATGACTTTAGGATCATGAGATAAACTGAAATTTAGAGAATCATTTATAAAGTGGATTACAAAATCCCAAAAAGTCCGGATTTTTGTACAGCACTGAAAGATATTGAAATAAATAAATAAATAAATAAGAACAGAATCAGCTCCAGCCGATCCATCTCTCCAGCAGCAAGCTTGTACATTATATGGGATAATATGCATTGAAACAGACACTTTATATTTATGTGGTCTATGATGCTTCAAACATGCCATTACATTAAACTAATTTTAGCAATTTGCCATACTTTTCTGATCCAGTTTTTAACAACTAGATTTTCAGCATTTCTTATTTTTTGCTATTAACATCTTATCAACTAATATTAAATCTAGAACCATATTTATATGCTTTTTCTACATAA